CGGGATAATATCACAAATGCAATTAATCGTTCAGCCCTAATCTCTATTTAGGTGCTTTAGGTACCAGGTTAGCTCACCTGGTAGAGCATGTGCACCATGTAGAAGGCTGAAGTCAGCATTAGCTGTACTGTCCCCAACTACTCTATTTTTTTAATTAAACCTTTATTTAAGCAGGCAAGACACTTGCCACACAGAACAACTCTAGCAGTGAATAGATATTCACCAGCTCTGTAATACTGCTGTTCATCAACAAAGTGTCTGCCTTACTCATGAAGTTACCTTAAAATTATTACTTTAATTTATGTAACTTTACATCCAAAACCACAAAACCAAAGTACGTTCAGATCCTATAATTAAGATAAAAAAATAACCAACAATATTAATAACAATATCACAACGCAGTAATGTTGTTTATTGGTTGGTCTGTTGTTTCAGACAGAACGCTTATCAGAAAGGTTGGATACGCTCCGAATCCAGCTGCTATGCGATTAATGGCGCTAATGATTCTGGTCAGAAAACCTAGGAAGAAGTTCGAGAAGACTGCAGAGGAAACAGTTCAGAATTGGCTGTTATAGTTGAGGAAATGGAGAAGGTAATGAGAACACTGTGAACACTTTTATGACAGCCTGTATGAATGGAAAATGTATTTTCTGTCTGAACACACTGAGTCTGTAGGCCACAGTGTGTTTATTTAAGTATAAGTTTAAATATCTGATAACTGTCTCTCTGTCATCAGATGAACTAAAAACCATTCTCTTCTCTGTGAAATATAACATTGGTACACTGTAAACCTCATTCTTTTAGTCAGAGGGATTTTTAGAGAGAAGTTTAAAATATAACATTTTCTCCCCCTGAGAAGTAATCTAATTACTTATATTTGAAAAAGATTTAATTTAAACAGAAATGAAAACGCTAGATTGAAATTTATTTTGTAAAGGATTTCTTAAATGTGCTTAAACAACTTTGGAACATACTTTGAAATGTGCATGATAAATGTGAACTCCTTTGATCTAAATGTATAGCATTCTAATCATGCACAGGAGAACCTGGATGGATCCATGATCATCAAGACACAAGAGTAAGATGATTTTATAAACACCATGAATAATAAAATCTGTCAGCTGGGATCTAACCATCTGGTTCTTTCCTCAGCTACTGGACAGAATCACCAGCATCATCCAGGCTTGTGTATTTTGTGTGTGCATGTGTGTGCATCCTTGAAGCTTTGGCAGTACTGTACTATTAACATTCATGTATCCTGTGGAATTAGATGCCACACAGGACACAATTACTTAAGGGGTTCTTGTAGCTCCAGGTTTATTGCTGACCACATGTGCAGGTTCATTTCACAGAGTGGTATGCTACTGAGTCTTTCACGTAACCAGCTCAAATGCTGAATTTTGTAACAGTTTCTAACAGCCAAAAATTTTAGGAGGAAGGAGAGGCAAAATAAAATAAAATACAGAAAAAATAGCAGTGGGCTATGACTATCAACAGAAAACATGACATAAATCATGATAACAACCATACACCCACTTACATCAACATCGGTTTATAAAATGTGCAACAGTAAATGACACTTACACTTCCCCAAGTTCCACCAAACCCACGTGGAACTTCCCAGAGATCGCACAACTCAAGGCACTTTAAACGTCTATTATCTTCAAACAGAGTTACACTTAATATAAACCTGTAACATTTTTTTGAGTAACAGAGTACAATATCACGGTATGACTTAATGCACGCTAGCATTACCATGAAATTTAGTACACAATGGTCGACGATTGGCGCCCAAAATCCAAGCACACAATTCCAGTGTTAAAATATTGACAGGTGATGCCATTTCATACACTTGTACATGAATATTTAACAAGATATACATGCATTTACCTACTATTCTACACAATGAAGTTTCTGCACCAATCCCTCGTAAGTACTTCACACATTAAACAGGAAGAAAGACCACAATGCACTTGGTGGAACAACAACAATATTACTCAATGCTGCCACCTTGTGATGAAAGTCTGCCATCACATGTAGGACTGTGGAAATCCACTTAGAATCTACTTCACACTTACTTTAAATTTAAAACAATGTTTCTATCAAACAAAACAAACAACACATGTATTTACATTACTGTAAAACTTCAATTGATAGCCAAATCCCAAATAGCCGCCTACCTCCTTTACTGGCCTGGTGTGGGAACACATTTTGACAAATAAACGCCTCAATTAAACGCCTGGTCTGGTTTTTATAGAAGTTCTTTGGATGTATAAAACCTCTTAAACCCCGCGGGGTCGCCCGCTTTAGCTGCTTCTAAGCTGCTCATATGATCAATATGGACATGCTGAACATCGTTAGATCGGTTACATTCTCCACAATACCACTGTTACGTTCATTTAACGGAAACAACAAGACCCAAAGTCTCATTCTTCTAGATTTACCAGTGTAACCTGCCCGGCTACAAGAGAGGAAAAGGGGAAAAAACTGCTGACTGACGTTAACTTTGAAGCGCTTGTTAAGTCCGCTCGTTTAGTCCGAATGTGTCCCATCCTTGATTATTTATAGTCCTTTAGTCTGTAAGGGTCCACCCATCAAAAGTGAAGTCCATCGCTCTCTGTCTGCCACACTTCTCTCATCCTGCACCCTGTTGTTGTTTAGGTTACTGCCTTCAAAATAAAAGTGCATAAGCAGTCTGTCAGAGCTAGATCAAATAAATGACATGTATTTGATATTTTTTGATAATATTTACAACAGTATTATTCTGTTTGAAATAAATAAACTTCTTCATAATAGTTTCAGTTTTGTGCAAAAAGGAATTAAAGGCCTGTCTCATATGGACGCCTGTCTCAAATATAGGCAGGGTCAATTCAGTGATTTTAGTAAATTAAAGCCCGGGCTAATATTCAAAGTTTTACTTTACAAAACTTTTAGAACTATACTAAACCAAAGTGGAAAATCGCCTATGACTAGATTTACCACCCAGCTACATTCATATAAATTTGAATTGAATATCACAAAAAAGACACTCAAACAGATCTATGTGTGTGTGTGTAATACAGTTTTAGATTGACACTGGGAGTCTGTCTATTGACCAGTTTTTAGAAAAATATCGTGACTACTACAGGTGGAGCTAAAGTGTTAGTATCATCGAATGCGGATTGAATGAATGTTCTTCTACTTTGAAAGGGCCACAATAATGAAATGTTGAATATCAAGATATGATGTGATCTAAGAGAGGAACCTGCAAATTGTTCAGAGTCTCCATAAAGCCTGTCAATTCAATTCAATCTAGCTTCATTGGCATGAATGTAAAAAATAAATTACAAAAGAACAATTCATTTCATACAGTTAAGTTCATTCATTAAATAAAGGAAAACAAAAATGTGTGTTTGTGTATGTTAAAAAATAAAATTGTAACCCTATCTTCCCAGCAGTGAGCCCCAAAGCAGCCTCTGCGTTGTGTTAGGTGAAGTGTCCTGGGGCAAGAAGGAGAGACAGGGAACGGGACACCCAGTGGTGGTAGAGGCAGAACAAACTCTAACGGTTTATTGGCTTGTGAAACACAAAACAGAAACTCAATCAGTTTCCAAGACACTTATTGACTCATGAATCAATTACGAAAATAACATAAACTTCAGATGCCATATTCCAGAGCTAGATATAATTTAAAGAGCCACAACAAATCTTTTACCCTGTTAAGCAATGCTCAGGAAAGCTAGCTCACCCATACCACACAATTAACTATTAGCATGGACATTGTGACAACATTAGACTTTCGACTTTAGACATTAGACAGAACAGGTCCTATCAGTTACATAATCACATTGGGAACGAGTGTTCTGCATATGTTTAGAACACAGACAGTAACATTAACGGTATTTAAGTGTTTCTAGTGGTATAGTGCTCGGGGGCCCTCCTTACCTTGTGAAACACAAAACAGAAAGTAAACCAAGGCGACTCAGGCACCTCACCGTGGCTTCGGGGCCCGCGGTGAATAAACGACCAGAGTTTGAAATCAAAGGGATTTGTGGTTCCAGAAATATAAAAGGAATGTATGTCTATGGGAGTGTTATTTCATATACGGTTAATAGAATCAGAGTCAGCTTTATTGCCAGGTATGTGTTCACATACGAGGAATTTGACTGAGGATTGAAGTGCCACCTAGAGGTCAATTGACACCAAATTTCATACAGCCCCCTGGAAGTCCTGCCAGATAAGGTCCCCGAGCAGCATGACATTTTGGAAATGCTGTTTTGTAAACTGTTTAAATTGTGGTGAACTGTTCTCTATAAATGTTCAGCTGTTTAGAATGGTTGTGTCATCTGAACTAAGATAAATTAAAATCAATTGTTGTAGTCTCCAAAACATCTATTTGTCATATATGTCATATACATATTGAAGATATTGGATGTAAACGGATGGGTTTTAGTTTGCTTTTGTTTGATAGTGCCCATTTATGTAACCCACACTGGAGATTCCACTGACCACAGCTTCCTAAAACCAGGCAGGAATCTTTTACTAACTGTAATCCAGTGGACTGGCCCTAACCTCAGTTGCTGTAATCTGCTGCTCCAAAACATCTATTTGTCATATACATATTGAACATATTGGATGTAAACGGATGAGTTTTAGTTTGCTTTTGTTTGATAGTGCCCATTTATGTAACCCACACTGGAGATTCCACTGACCACAGCTTCCTAAAACCAGGCAGAAGCATTTGTAATGAACTGGTTATTTTAAAATGTTTCCCATAAAATGCAGAGTTTCCCCTTTCATGATCTGCAAAATGTGAGAGTTGGTTAATTTGGGTTTTAGCTGCCCTGTGAAGGTCTACACAGAATACAGTTCTGGGAAAAACACTGAATTATTTCTCATTCTAACAGAAGATACTGGGACAATAGCAATAAATTCAAATAATCTAATAAACCTGTAAAAGCTTTTAAAATGTAAACAAAATGCAGTAATTAACCACAAGATTGTGTTCTTCAACCTTTCAGCTAATAAGGAGGAGGAAACTGTGTACAGTGATGTGAAGGTGCGAAGCAAAACAACCGAAAAGACTGCTGACACAAACAGTAAGTTGTAAAGAAAAATGTACACAGCATTCAGTAGAGTAATAATAATAATAAATAATAATCCTTATTTGTAGAGCACTTTTCAAAAACAAGTTACAAAGTGCTTTAACAAGTGTAAAGACAATAATACCCAAGAGACAATAATACAAAAAAACAATACAAGATAAAAGCATGAAAACATTGAAAATTAGTAAAATACAGATAATATAAAATTAGTAAAATACAATAAAATAAAGGGATAAAATAAAGTCAAATAAGATCGGGAAAGGCTCTCCTATAAAAGTATGTTTTAAGAAGGGACTTAAAAGAGTTCACTGACTCAGCCGACCTGATTTCCTCGGGCAGGCTGTTCCAGAGCCTCGGGGCCCTGACAGCAAACGCTCTGTCCCCTTTAGTTTTCAGTCGAGACTCTGGAACAGACAACAGACCTCTGCCAGAGGATCTCAAGGTACGTGCTGGTGTGTATGGGACTAAAAGGTCAGAAATATAACAAGGCGAGAGGCCATGAAGAGCTTTAAAAGTGATCAATAGAATTTTAAAGTCAATTCTAAAACATACTGGGAGCCAGTGTAATGAAGCTAAAATAGGAGTAATGTGGTCATATTTCTTTGTTCTGGTTAAAAGCCTGGCAGCTGAGTTCTGGACAGTCTGGAGTCGATCAGTAGATTTTTGGGTTAAACAGGTGAAAAGGCTGTTGCAATAAACCATTCTAGGGCAGTAGCAGAGATCCCCACCCAGTGCCTCAGTCTGTCTAACATGATGTTGTGATCAATGGTGTCAAAAGCAGCGCTAAGGTCCAGGAGTACAAGGACTACACAGAGTATATCTATTAATACTACTATTACTGCTACAAATACTACCTCAGATTTATCGTTATTACAACCATTAAAAGGGAACTAGGGTCATGAGGAGTACTGCTCAGCCTGTGAAAACAGTAGGAGCTTTGTTAATAACTTAGAGACTGCTAATTTTAACAAAGACTTACAAACTGGGGGTGTGGAGTTCAAAAAGATGTTGCTGTTTCACAGGCAGGGAAGCTCTAGTGAAAAGATAAAATCACCTTGAATTATGGAAGTGTAGGATCCATTGTTTTTGGAGTTTAAGCCATAGTAGGGAATTTATATTTTGAGATTTTCTAATCTGTATTTTGCCAAGTGTTTGACGAGTGCTTCAACTGCAACATTTTACAGCCACTAAAACTACAGAAATTCTGCTGTTACAACTACCACCAATTCTTCTATTACTGCTTCTAATGCTACCACTACTTCTAGCACAATGGCAAAAAGCCATTTGAAAGCCAAAAAAACAGGTTCACACATTTTAAAGTCCATCATTAAACAAGGTGCCCATGTGAATACTGAAACATGTTTTGCTGCCTGTAATAATTTCCTTTGTAATGTGCTTCGACTGTAAGAGATGGGAGACAAAATCTAAAGTCTTTGTTCTGTATAGAAATGTGTTCCAAAGTTCATCTGAAGCTTTTAGCAGTCTGAGTTAGTCAAATCATGTGGGTATCTTCACTGTCTTTATTTACTAACTTTTTAATATAAAAAGGTTTTTTTGGTGTAAAAATCCTGTAACTTTGAAAAGTACCCAGTTGATTTGGTTAACTCAGACTTAATTATATCTGTTGTTTATTCTCAGCAGGACTTTTGCCAGACAAGAAAACAAACAGCAGAGGTCGCTGCTATCAGCAGGTGGCTTGTTGTTTGGGGATTCTTTGTGTCATTTTGCTGTTGGGCATCATAGCAGTCTGTGTCTACAGTAAGTATACAAAACAGGTAGTCTATGCAGTACCTCAGACTCAGACATGAGGCAGAACTTGAAGAATAACAGCACCAGTTTTCCTCTGTAACATTACTATAACCGTAACCAGAGGATCTATTAACAGGTTGTTTTACCTATAGATTTCTGCCTCTAGTCTAAATCTGTTACAAACAAAGTTCATTTCTCGACACAATATAGACAGTAGACAGTACGTAAGCAATAAGACTGTTCTTGGTAATGTGACTTTTATTTTTGACAATGTTCAACCATTTATTCCATATTCTGCCCATTGTAATGTAGAGTGCAGCATCTCGGAAAGCATCAGGCCAACTAACAAAGCCAAAGAAAATAAAAGACAAATTTGAAAAACAAGTTGAGTTGATTGAATATATCTTTCATATACAAACAGAAGTCACAACACAGCAGAGGAAGACTGGTGACAGCATTAGTGTGTATGTAATGTATGCATAAAAGGCATTAAACAATGAGTCAAATGATATTCTATATTTTTTTACTGTCAACATATTCCATGATCAGCCCCAAACCAACACTGAATTGATCCTACAAACAAAAGTATCTGTGTATCAAAGACTTATCCAGCTGTGCCATAGAAACCCACAAATGTCTACAAACTATGAAAAACACTTCAGCGAGTCACAGTGTTGCACTGGGTGACATGTTCCTTCACTGTCCCACAGACGCAGTCCTGCTGCCATAAAGGCCTGCTAGTGCACAGCTGAAAGAGCCTGGCTATTTTAGGCAGTGTCAAATATTTAAGGGTTCAGTAGGAACCAAAGGTCTTAGGAAGTCCTACAGCTCCCATAAGTCTAAAAAACACAAAGCTTCCAAAAATGCATCATTATTATCACTCAAGAAGCTTATTTCCTATTTGCAGTTGTTACATTTATCCATGAAAGTGAACCGAATCAGCTGAAAGAAAACCAAACGATTCTACTGGCTCTCAATGGAAACCTGACAAACCAGAACAACAAACTCAGCTCAGAAAATGAAAAGCTGAGGAGGGAACACAACAATCTGACAGTCCAGTTGGAGAACCTGACACAAGCCTATACTGTCTTAAAAAGCAACATCACAAACCTGTCTGCAGAAAACCAGAACCTGACATCACAAAACACCAAGCTGTCTGCAGAAAACCAGAACCTGACATCACAAAACACCAAGCTGTCTGCAGAAAACCAGAACCTGACATCACAAAACACCAAGCTGTCTGCAGAAAACCAGAACCTGACATCACAAAACACCAAGCAGTTGGAGACAGAGAGGAACAACTTAACAGAACAGATACGGAACATGGAGACAAAGTGGAATGAGCTCAACGTCAGTCGAGCTCAGTGGAGCATTGATGCCTACTGCCCAAAACCACAAAACCAAAGTATGTTCAGATCCCATGATTAAAGTAAAAAATAATAATAATTTCACAATGCAGTAATGATGTTTATTGGTTGGTCTCTGTTGTTTCAGACAGACAGTGTAAAGCTTGTCAGGGTGGCTGGTTACCCTCCCAGTCCAGCTGCTATGGGATTAATAACCCTGATGTTTCTGATCAGAAAACCTGGGAAGAAGCTCGAGAAAACTGCAGAGGAAAGATTTCAGATTTGGTTGTTATAGCTCATCAAACCGAGAAGGTAACGAGAAGACAGCCTATATTCAAAGAAAGTTTATTTTGTGTAGTTCTGAACACACTGAGTCTGTAGGCCACAGTGTGTTAATTTAAGTATAGTGTTTAAATATCTGATAACTGTCTCTCTGTTGTCAGACATTCATCAGTAATAACAGTTGGGGCAGTTCAGGAACCAAGGGATACTGGATTGGCCTGAGAGCTGAAGATGGGAAATGGAAGTGGTCGATGGAAGTGATCTGACTGAAAAGTAAGAGACACATTCATAAACATTTTGAAGCATAAAATCTATCAGCCTGCATCTACATCATGTTCTTCCCTCAGCTCCTGGATACAACAACCTGCTACCAACGGTCTGTGTGTAATTTCTGTAGAGACAGAAGGATGGAAATCAGTGAGCTGTGGTGCCAGAAACAGATGGATCTGCAAAAAGAAGGCTTTATCTCTTTAAACACTGCAGTCATACTTGAGAAGGTTACTGGGGACTAAAAAGTTAATCATTTTTCATGCGTGTGCAAAAAAACAGATCCTCTAATATAAGTGTGTTCAGGTTGTTTGGGTATTCTGCCTCCTTGTCTCATCCAGTACAGTCCCAAACTGTCCTGTGTCTGTCTAACGGGGATGCTACCACATCAACAAAGCAAAAATGTATGCCAGTGCACCGCAGAGTACAGGATAGGTAGATTTCTGTTAAAATATGACTCATTAGATTGAAAGTATTAACTTTATTTTTAAAATGCCAGGGAAAGATAGGTAGGAGAGATTTTGAATGTGCAGAAAGTTTTGAACATGAACAGAAAACCTGCTGAAACACAGACTAATAAAGTTCAGGTGTTTATAAATGAATTTAATTAATTAATGTATCGTTGAGATGAAAACGTGCCACATGCTAATTTTTTTAGAGATTACTTCCCCAAACAAAAGACAGAAAAGAGGAAGGAAGACTAATTTAAAGCTCTCGCCCTGCTATATCTCCTTTTAGTCCCATACACACCACCAGTCTGCAGTCTGTTCCACAGTCTCAACTGAAAACTAAAGGGGACAGAGCGTTTGGAGTCAGGGCCCCGAGGCTCTGGAACAGCCTGCCCAAGGAAATCAGGTCTGCAGTGAACTCTTTTAAGCCTTCTTAAAACATACTTTTATAGGAGAGCCTTTCCTGATTTTATTTGACTTTATTTTATATTTTTTAATATTTATTTTACACATGTATTTTATTGCTTTTATAATGTGTTTTACGGATTTTATTGTCTTTGCACCTGTTACAGCGCTTGTAACTTGTTTTATAAAAAGTGCTCGATAAATAAAGATATTATTATTATTCCTAGATATATTAACTCAGCAGGGATGTTATCAAATGAGAAAGTTGATCCACATACACAGACTGTCTGAGAGCCTTACTGTATTGTATTCAATTATAATTTTATATTTTGAATTGTTACCCACTGGCTGAATTTTGTGTTTCGCTTTACATTAATGATGACATTTCCACTATAAATGGTGGTCGAATGTGGGGTCAAAAGAGCTTGGTAGAGGACAATAGGGCTTCCCCCCCCGCACATAAAAAAGCTACTTTTGTTAACAAGGCTGACATATTGTTCCTGGGCTGACAAGAGTTTCTGGGAGCTTCAGTTTCCTTCCACAGTCCAAACACACACATGTCAGGTGACCTAGAAAACATAATTTGCTCACAGGTTAAATATGTTTGTGTGCTTGTGTTTTATCCTGACATCCATCTGTGAACTGTATTGATCCAGATCTTTGTGGGATATTTGTGCACAGAAGAACCTCAGACAAACCTTGATAAGACTTATATAAAATACTGAAAAATGTATATTTTGGTTTTGTGTTGATTCTGTATTTTGACACATTTTCAATGGTTTTCACAATATTTTGTAAATTATCCACTGATTTATGTGTACATGTACTGTATGTCAAATGTATTCTCTGTAAATGATAGAAAAAGGGATGGAGATCAATGTGTGGATTTGTTTGCTGACTGAGAGGGTTTAGAAAAGAAGCTGCATGAAATCATAAACTAACTGTGAAATGGATGTCAGTACAGTGCTTAAACTGATACTTTTTGTTATAATAGCTGGGACAGTTATGGCTCCTGGATTAGCAGGAGAGTTGAAGCTGCCTAGCACAAATGCAATATTGTGAAGCTTGAGATTTATTTATCACTGTATTTTCCATCAGTGGCAGTGTGTTGGGTTTTACTGTTAGTGATCAAAGCACTAAAAACTATACACTTTTAAAACTGGCACACTGTAAACTTTTACATTTCCCTTACAGCCCTCATATAGGTCTGCTATTGAACTTCATGCTATTTTTCAGAAACAGAAGAACACAGAAACTGCCTTTCAGTTTAAAAATGTAATGTTTGTTTATCTGCCAGTAGGATACTTTCTAATACGCTGAAACTTGAGTCTTGTCTTTCTGTGATGATTTTGAATGGAACTATGTCGGTTGAGCTCAGTGGAGCATTGATACCTACTGACACCAGCATTTAGGAAAATACACTCACTGGCCTAAAGAAGAATTTAACTGTTAATTTATTAATGAAATGTTTAATAACTTTGAATGTGCTTTTCTTCTGTTTTGTTAGATATGCAGTGTACCAGCAGGTTGATGAAAGGGACCAACAAGACTGCTCAGTTTCCTGTTTCCTGTGTAACAGTTTACATTTTTACTAACTGTCCAACAGGAGGCGCTGCAGAACTTCTTATCAAGAGAATGTTCCAGGGTCTGGTTACTATTTGTGTTCTGATACACACAGATCAGCCAGAACATTATGACCACTGACAGGTGAAGTGAACTGCACTCATCATCTCGTTACCATGGCGCCTGTCAGTGGGTGGGATATATTAGGCAGCAAGTTTAACATTTTGTCCAGGGTCAGAGGATCTCTGAAACTGCAGCTCTTGTGGGGTTTTCCTGGTCTGCAGTGGTCAGTACCTACTGAAAGTGGTCGACGAAAGGAAATCATGGGCAGCCTCACTGATGAGCGTGGGGAGCGAAGGCTGGCCCGTGTGTTCTGATTGAACAGATGAGCTACTGAGGGTCAAATTACTGAAAAAGTTAAAACAAAAGGTGTCCGAACACACAGTGCATCACAATGTATTTTGTATAGCCGCAGACCAGTCCTGTTAAAGTCCTGGTCTCAGATACCACAGCACACCTTCAGAGGTGTAGTGGAGTCCACGCCTCGACTGGTCAGGGCTGTTATGGCTGCAAAAGGGGGACCTACAGGTGGTCACAATGTTGTTGCTGATTGGTGAATACAATACTTGCAGGTACAGGGGACGGTTATGTGTTATCTGTTTATGTCAAAGCAATCATTAGGTTGGGATAAATAATCAACATAAGTTATCAGTTCTCTGACACCAATATCATAATATGTTCTGTTCTGTTACTGAGGTGCTTTCTTTCTTTCTTGCAGGTCAAACGTTGGCCTCTTTACAGCAGTTTAACTTTAAAACGATGCTGCAGGTGTTAATGTTGCTGAGACGGTGTTAAAAAGACAAAGACTGTACTTTGGTACACATTGTTTCTTCTCAGCTGTGCATAAAACTCTAAACTCAGGCTGTTGTAGAGAATAAATGCAACACATCACTGATTCCTCCTTTGTATAAAATAGCTTTTACATCTTCACCATTTTACATCTTTACATCTCACCTCTTCAGGTAAATATGATGTTTACGACATATATATTCTTTTCAATATTACAGGTATCACAAATATCCGTGGTATAAATGATGATCTTGTTGTTATTGTATATCTCTGTGTTTTCATATCTTGAGTTTCACTGTGTCTGCAAGACATTTGCCAACAACCTAATTTATCAAGAACAGCTCTAACACACAGCTCCCCCTCAAAACATGATGTTTTACATTTCTGCAATCGATCTGCTGGTCCAGGTCCTCTTTTTCTGCCTCCAGGCAAAAGGGGAAGTGAAAAAGGAAGTGGTTAAAAAAAAAGGTATGAGAAAACATTCTAACAGTGAAGTAAATGTCTTATTCTGACAGTGAAGGATTGTATCTTTGTGCTTCTGTTAGTCATATTCTGTGGGTTGATCAAATGTTATGAGAATAACGTCTTGTTCTATTTTGCTGAAAATTACAACAATGTTGTTATTATACAGTTGCACAAGTTAATACTTTCACTTAAGATCTTATTAAAATACATCATACACTGTAAGACATTGCATGTTTCATTCAAAAACTAAAAAAAACTTGGCTAAACCTGTGGTTCTTGTTTTGGTTTTCATGTCAAGGACCCCCAAACTGACAAATTAGAGCACAGACCCCATTTGATAAGATTATGTCCCAGGATTCCCCATCTGATAGGATTTTGGTGTTTAGATGTTTTCTTACAGAAAGAGTATAAAAACCCATGACCAAAATAGTCATATGTTCTGTAACTGTGTTACTTATGGATGGAATAATAGTGAAAACAAACAACCTGTTCTCATGCTCAGGCGTCACATATACACGCTTTGGAAAAGCCGTGTCTATTGTACACAAATTTGTGCGTGTATGGTGGACGCCCCCAGGTACGTGTGTATGAGACGCCCCGGGGTGACTAGCTAGCTAGCTAGCGATGTTTTTGTTTAAGGAGTTGACAGCCCCCTGAGGCAACTTCCCTAACCTCCACCATGGCATTAGTTAGGGCCTAAACCTAAGTCAGTAAATATATGCATGTCGACAGGCTAACCCTACAGCTGTGCACACGGCCGATGTGCTAGCAGGTAGGGT